TATCCAAACCATTTATGGTTATTTCCACTTTATTACTACAATTGATGTTGTTCTCACCATCACACCCTCATTTAATTCTTAAAAAAATTTCTCTAGTAGTTGTATGATAATTTTATTTTAATATTTTTCATATTTTTTTACCCTCAAAATGGTTATCGTTTTGTCCTTTTTTCCTTATGGATAGGTCAACCAAATATAATAGGATTTGTCAAGCTGAACTTAAATATTTTTGTATAAGGTTATTAATGATGATGATGGTCATGGGAAGTTTAATCCCTGTTACAAAGCTTGTATCTTTTTTTTTTCAAACCTGTTGTCTTTATTATAACCATACGTTGCCCAAAAGTTTTGTTATTCTCAGGCATAGAAAATATATAACTTTTCATTTCCAATATGTGGAGCACTGATGACATCTAATGATCTTTGTTTTTCGACGCAATATATATTTTAGGCATTAAGGAGGTGGAATAGGGAACAAATTCTATCAATCTTTTAGATATTCAATGTTCAGGATCTTTCAAGTGAATTGGCTAACAATCATCAGGTTGCATGATTATGATGTGAAGTTTTTCTTGTTAGCAATCATCTAGTCTTATCCTAGGAGCTTTCCTGTTAGTTGAATTTTGAAATGAGTCTAAGCTTGATTTAATATTGATTATTGGTCATAATTTCATAGAATTTTTATTCATTTGGATAAGTTTTTGCTTAATCCTTAATTAGCCACAAGAGGTTGATATTGACAAGTTTTGAGTTGAGTGGTTTAAGTGGTCTATTTTAAGGAAGGTGGTTTGAACCCTCTTTTGGAACTAAGTTCAATTCTTTACCTTCATAAAGTTGAAAAATGGGTTTATGGTCAATTTGGGGTTGCTGCAAATATCTGTAAAGGCAACTATAGAATTTTTGTTAGAAAAATAGATTTTTGGGAGTTGTTGTCGTTATCATAAATATTTTTTTCTTGAAAAAATTAAACATCAAATGTCTTATAACGACCACACTCTAGGATATAGTTCTGTAAAAAGCTATTTTTCACTAGAAAAAATCTAAAAAATAGCAATATAATTGTAGGTAAATAGAATTATAGCAGTTTTTTGAAAATTGAAGCTATGAAAAAACTATTCCAAATTGGCCATTAATTTTGGGGGCTTGAAAGTCGCTTTGAGGCGGTAGCTGCCCGCAGAGATGTCTCGCGTTATTTGCTACAGTACATTAAACCAATTCCACGACCTAGGACAGACAGGAAGCTTCTCAACAAACTCGGACCGGTTTAGAACTGTGACTTGAGGGCCGATCAACCTTCGTACATGAGTTTGGCGCCTCCTTTCAACAGTGGGCCCAATCCTAGCATGAGTTTGGCGCCTTCTTTCAACAATGGGCCCAATTCTAATTATCTAGGGCTTATATATTTGATTACTATGTTTAGGTTTGGAGTTTTGGTCGTGTTTCTGTTCAAAATAGTAGTCGACATATTCTCTTTCCTTTTTAGGGTTCGTATCCAAAGGCGGGTGGTGCTCCAACAATAGCTCGTCCGAGTTGGTGATTTCCTTCCAAGGGACCGATTAGTGCTTCTGTTGTAGCTAGTTCTCGCAACGGTATTTATTTCCGACTTTTCCATCATCTGCATTCCTCCCCTTGCTGCTGCCATCGCCTTTCCTCATTGTCGGAACCACCAGACAACATTCCTGATTTCTTCATTCAACTCCAGCCACCGACCACCATCTACCATCTTCTCTACTGCCGTATCTTTCAATCATCGATCCTCCATGCTGCCATCCGGAAAACAACAAATCCGCTTTTTTTTTTGTTGTCCCACCATCATTTCGAGTTGTTGCTTCCTGGTTGTAACCTATCCTGTTGCCCCTGCAATCCCCGCTTGCTACCCCGCACTGGACAACACTCCTCTTGATGTCCTGCAGTCCACAACCCTTCCACTTTGCTGCCCTTTGTTGTCTTGGCCCTCTGCTTCAAAGCAATCCTAGGCACTTCTTTTATTTCCCCAACCACCCACAAGCCATTTCAGCCACCTACCTTCTTTCCTCGACCACCTAGTCAGACATCCACCACCCATGGATTGAGCCCTATTGCGAGTTTATGTCGTGTCTTAAGTTCCCTTTCTAGCGTGTCTGATTGTAACCGCCTCTTTGCTTTTCCTATTGTGCTTTGGGTCAACTCTAACGTCACGCTTTTAGTTTAAATTTTTTTTTTTAATTACCCTTGAATAATATAAAATTAATAGAATGATGGGTTGGAGCATTGCCTATAAAATTGATGTGTGGGTTGGTAAACAAATAAAAGAATTTAGTCATAAAAAATGAGTTTCTGCAAAACCAACAGAGTTCACTACAGCATCCTTAAATGAAATTCAGATTCTTATTACTATAAACACTTAAGTTGAAAACGCCTGATCAATGCTGATTATCGGAATCCTTTTTCCTTTTGGTTTCATAAGTTATAACCATGTGCTGATGTTAGCTATGATTTGTGCCTTTGTTCTTCAGGTTAGTAGTCTATGTATGAAACAAATTTTGAAGTGTACTAGAAAATGGTTTGTAATTTCAAAGAGAAGTTTTAGTCTAATGATAGTCCTTATTCGTTGGAATGTTAGGGGTTTCGTGCTTTAAGCATGGCCTTCAAAATGATTTTATACCTTCAGCTTGAATGTTGGGGATTTTGTGCTTTAGCATTGCTTTCAAAATGATTGGTGCCTTTAACCTGAGCAAATCATCTACTTCAACACAAGTTTCCATGCACCTTATAACCTGATACATTTTTCATAATATCATTTATCTCTAAAACTTTGAGGATCATTAATTTAAGGCATTTGTTAAAGCATCCAATATTTTAGTACATTTTTCATTAATCATAGTAATTCTTATTCGTATTAAGCATCTAATTTTGGGAGCAATCAAGTCGATTTTGGTTTTATTAGCTGCTTTAGACTTTATGTGTTTGGGCTTATCTAGGATTAGATTGTAGTTGTTTTGGTCCATTAAATTGATCTGGCCCCTATTCAGGCCTGATTTGCATTTGTTTGCAGCCAAGAAGTCAATTTATTTTTTTCACCATTGCTCCCATACGGTGAATCCAACATCCAAAAGTAAAGTCATAAATTAGTATAGAAAATAGGAGAACTGGAAAACGCTTATTTCTGTTATCATTCACTCAGAAGGTATTATAGAGTTGTCTTTATATTCTTATAATGTGTAATAATTACAATTAAAAAGGTTATTTAAGGCTCGTTAGATCCATGTTCCCTTATATTTTTGGTTTTCATTTTTCATTTGTTGCCATGGACTTGTTTGCCAATGATTTCCATTTACATCAGTTGCCGTGGATTTGTGTACCTACTCTGTTTCGATTTTTTAAGGCTCGTTATATACATGTTCCCTTATATTTTCGGTTTTCAATTTTCATTTGTTGCCACGGACTTGTGTGCCAATGATTTCCATTTTCATCAGTTGCCATGGATTTGTGTACCTACTCTGTTCCCATTTTGCTAGTCACCGATTCTAGCTCGGTTCAATCCAGTTTGATGCAGGGGCGGTTTTTAAGCCAGCGAACCGGACCACTGGCTTGTTTAGTCCGGTTTTCTAAATAGAGTTATTATTATAATTTTAGAAAGAATATATATATTGATTAAATAAATTAAATAACCATGAAATGAATAAAAAAATTTCTAACATTTTACGGATAAAAAATGATAATATTTAAGAATAGAACAGTATAAGTGATTATCATATTATTTATAAATCAATATAGTAGGTAAAGAAAATATAAGAAATTATGAAAAATCTTAAGTACAATAAAAAAAATAATAAGTAATCAAAATTTTTTAAAAAAAAAACTAAAGAAACCATAATAATTATATAGGATATTGCATACAAAAAGTAAAAATATATTATTTTGTATAACATAAAATATTAAAATCTAATATTATATTATACAGTTTTTACTATATATAAAATTTAAATTTCATTTTTAAGAACACATGCCTGATTTTTTTTAGTTGGACATGTGACAAACATTTCTGACTATAAAATTTAAATTTCTTTTTTAAGAACACATGCCTGATTTTTTTTTAGTTGGACATGTGACAAACATTTCTGACATATGCCGAACGGGTGTTGTATGTCTGTTTGTGTCAGATGCTACACGGTTATTTGTAGTGAATTGTAGCTGCATTATAGTCAGCTACAAATACTTTCTTGCGGGGTTGGTGCGTGAGCAAAATGTTAGTTGTGCTTTCCAGCAATGTTTTCGTCGAAAAAATCTGCACCGGACTGCCTGATGGATATATTTGACTAATGCTATCCCCCTCAGTGGAATATTCGTTCGAAATCCACTTACAGCTTTTTCTTGAAGTTTGGCTGCACAATTGTTATAAATTTAATTATCCAAATCATGATAACACATACATAAAGCATCATAGAACTTGTTCAAATCATTGTATCACATATAAAGTACAAGTTTGAGCTCTTTGAAAACATAAATATGTGATAGGAAGCATTGTAGCATTTGAGTTAAAAACATAAAATTAAATGATTGTAGCATAAGCATAAACATTTAATTAAATAATCTCACTTAATCTCTTTCGCTATCATTCTTCTGTTATTCATTCTCATGGTCTTCTACTTACTTTTCAATCCATTGTTGTTGACGAATCATCCATTTCAACTTGTATCATATAGTCAATGCAACTACCTACCTTCTAACCATTTTCTCATTTGTATTTTCTACACTACCAGAGTAAGACTTGTGGGAGGATTGGGTATGATATGTTGTGCTTTAGGAGCTTGACCCTTGAATTAATTCTATCCCCCCCTTTTTTTTTTAATAGTTTAGCTCCACAAACATAAGTTTGATTTCTGAGAAGATCCACCTATAGTCCTATGGCAATAGGTTTTACTCTGTTTACCCCCAAGAATTATGTACTCTTTTGATCAAATAATCAGATGTTTTTAAATAATTTAGATTTTAATAATAATTTTTTTGCATAAACCTTGAAGTTGGTGGGTTTGCATGTGTAGCTCAATTATTGTGGGATTTCTTCCAAACATTTCGTTCTATAAAGGCGCTTTTAAAATAAAATATATATTTTATAATTAAGTTATATCGTAAATATATGATTTTAAACTTATCAGCAGCCCAAATTTTTTTTCATGCATTATTAAAGCCGTCTCAAGCTTATGTATAAGTTGGCCCAGACTCTCGCACTTATTCATAAAGGCCGTTCTCTAGATTTTTGATTGATTATTATCATATCTGACAAATGAGTTGAGTCCTACATCTCAAATTCTCTTATCTTGATTTTCAGTAGCCATTAATTTTTTTTGTAAATTAAAAGATGTTAGTATGCCAATGCATATACACATATTTTTGCACTGATAGTTAAAAGAAATGATAATTACCTCAAAATTGTAAATTCGTCTATTGGGAATATCCACTAGAAACTTCTTCAATGACACTGAATGAGCATTAAATTTATTTATTATGATATCTGTAATTTTATTTTTTCTATCACCTGTGAATTAATATGAATTGCTTATTCATCCATTTATCATTAAGCGAAATTAGTATGATTTAAGGCCTTTATAGAATAAATAAGTAAATTATTTAAATACAATAACAGTAACAACAACAACAAGCCTTTATCCCACTAAGTGGGGTTGGCCACATTATGTTTTTTACGTTTTGTCCTATTAAGTGTCAAATTTTCATTTACTTCTAATAAATTATGATCATTTTTATACAGTATTCCCAAGTCTTTTTAGGTCTAACTTGACGTATCTTAACATATGTCAAATCTAAAATATCTACTCTCCTGCCTGGATCATCAAATGATTGTCATTTAATGTAACCAAACTATCTGAGGAAACTCTCCCTAATCTTGTCTACTGTTGGATGTACTCGACCCTTTCACGGATATATTCATTTCACATTTTGTCTCCAATTGTAAACCCTCTCTTCCACCTGATTTTTCCCATCTCAACAATACTCAATTTTATGCTTCTTTTTACAGGCCATTATTTTGGACCGTAAAGCATTATAAGTCTCACCACCATCTTATAAAATTTACTATAAAAAAAGGGGATAGAATTAATATATTGAATCTATTGTTCAAAGTGATGGTGATATAGATGGGGAAGTTATTAGTAGAAGTTGAATGGTTGAAGTGGACGAATGGATCGAGTCTATTGTGTGATAGAAAAGTACCACTTAGACTTTACGAATGGATCGAGTCTATTGTATGATAGAAAAGTACCACTTAGACTTATAAAATTGCCCCTAAAATCTTTTACCATTCTTTCAATATGTTCATTTAAATCTCTAATAATTTTTTTTAAAGGCATCATTTTTATTAATTATTTAAGTTCATTCCAATTTTTTTTTTTAATATATATCCAAAACTATTTGGGGAATATAAGCACTTATAATATTAAAAAGTTTAATATCAATAATAATCTTTAGAACTATAATTATATCTCAATTTTATTAATTTTTACAACATTTTCTTTCAAAATTTTATCTATAATCATAGATACACAATTTCTCATACGACCCTTACCTGAATATAAAAGTTTAAAACATAAGCCATCAATTTCTTTAGTTTTTTCTAACTCATTTAGTTTCTTCAATGCATATTCTTCCTATGAATCATATTATCTACTAATTATATTAATTTACCAGGGAGAGTGCCTATATTCCAATTTTCTATTATAATATTAGTTTCATGGATTAACTTATTTTTCCATGTTCTTCCATTATGTGAGAACCCGTGTTTAGTTAACACTATAATCGAGCACAGATGCTGTGGTTTTTTCACGTTTTTTACTATATTCATGTCATACATCGTGTTGATTCTATGGGACGCCCAAACACTGATAATTTTTTATCATAATATTTGTTTCATGGACTATTTATTTTGTCTGTATTTGTCCATAATGTGTGAAGTCTTGTTTTTTTAACACTACAATCGGGCGACGTTGCAGCGGCACTTACAAACGTTTCACTATATTCAGGTCGTACAATACATCGTTTCCAGAGGGCACCCAAGCATTGACATAATGATTTATGTCATAATTTTTGGACAAATATTTGCGCTAGCTATCCACTACCTAACGCAACTCTCCATTTTTAACATTCAAGATTTGGCACCCTACAATGATAGTGTTAAGTAAATTATTTAAATAGACAAGAAATTTAGTTTGGAATTTTTAAAATATGTACATATGATAGATTACTTTTTAATTATAATCAATAGAAATAATTCCAATACATAAAATATTTACTCCTACAAATAAATATAAGTCTAACATTGAAAAATCCTAAACAAATGTAGTTATAAAAAAATTTTGATATGACAAATAAATTATTACTCTAATAAAAAAATATTATATAAGCTTTGTATTTCATATGAATCAAGTAATTTTTTTTAATCTACGTCAGATTTGTACATCTAAGATATTGAACGAAGATAATATGAGAGCATTGTAAATCTATGAAATAAATTATAGATTTAAGCTAAAAAACCTATTTAATGTTTATTATAAAACAGTCTCCTAATTTTATTAAGAAAGAAATCGAGCTATTATCCTAGTAGTCCCAAAAATTTGAGAATTCTATGAATGAATATTATATTTATGTTTGCAAGAAGTAAAGTAGGTGATTTATCTCAAGATCTATGGAAGAATCAAATAAATTTTGTTAAATTGGGTGATGGGAGCTAGCAATGTGGTAGCCGGCGAAAGGGAGTGAAATGGGTTCAGGAGGAAGAAAAGGATGAAAAGAAGAATAAAGCCTTGGGTGGATTGAATATATTTAGGTTTGGATTGGTTCTCTAGCAGCAAAATGGCTAAAATTTCGCCATTTGTCTGATGAATCTATTGTCTGAAATTTGGGCTGAGTTTTTCTACCGATAAGCCCGTGTTTTCTTGTAGTGACATTCCATCTTGATTGTTGTGAATCTTCTAAATAGCGCTCTTAAAGATTTTCTTCACTTGTATAGTGTCCTTTTAAGTTTTCATGGCTAGTTTTTTAAAAGGTTTTTGATTATGGCTGAAGTAAGATGATTACTTTTGTTTTTCCTTCATATCATCATGTTAAAAGTCAATATTTACATCATATTCGTGCGTGAACTATTATAAGTTATTGGTTAAAGAGTTGGTTATGAATTTTATTTAATATTGCCATAGAGCAAATATTTTCTAGTATTCTATTCCAAAAGATTAAGCATATCCTTTTTCTTTTAATTCAGGTAGCTTAACTATTTTCTATGTATGATTCCTTTTTAGAACACTCTTATCTTCTCTCGTGATTTTATGACACATGATCTTATGTTTAGAGGATAAGAAAAGGTTGGAATGAGAACTCCTTTAATCTCATTCAAATTTTGTGAGAAATGTAGCAGCTGTAAAGCTTGCTTTGTTCACCCTCAAATGGGTATTTATGCTGAAAATTGTATAGAAAATAATTGAAAAGTAATCACAAAGATTTAAAATTGCTATCTAAAACTTTGTATCTTAGTTGGCAAGAGCAGTTATCAATTTATAGCATTTTTTTTTTTCTTTTTTTTTTTTGTTGTCAAACACATAAATATGTGACATTTCTCTTTTCATATTAAGCACGTGTTTTCTCTTGTTTTGCACATAAATCTGACTCATTTCAATACTTCTTTAGCATTTTTAATACTTTCAGCGCATCATTTTTTTAGTTTTTTTAAATAAGTTTTTTCCTCTCTTTTTTTTTTCAGATTACTTATCAATTTTTCCATTGGAGGAAGGGAACACCCTTTGCTGAAGATCAGGGTATATACAATAATTTGACATGGTGGGAACAAATAGATAATGGCAAGCAACTTACACGTAATAGGAAGTTTTTGACTGTCGTGCCTGTTGTCCTGTGAGTATCTTTCTGACCTTAAATAGTAAGTTTCTGATGAAATGTTTTAGAAAAATTTACATATATGGCACACAATTTTGATGCATTTACATATTTGACAGCCGAACTTCATATTTACATACAAAGGTGTTTTAAACCTATGCATGAAAAGGTGTATTTCACTTTTAGAAAGTGATAATAATGCTATTGTTTATATGATATTAATGTTTTGAGTGCTATGTGTGTAAATATGGAAGTTTAGGTGCGAGATACATAAATAAATAAGAATTGTATGCTATGTATGTAAATGCCCCAATTTTATATTACTGGAGGATAATTCTTTCTGGGAAGAAGTGGGACATCATACGTTCTCACATTGCCATCTTTTAAATCAATCTGGCAGTACCAGCATTGCCTAAATACTCTTCGTTGTTACATATTTAGGGGAAATATAAGGTACTTACACAACGCATTTGGTTCCTATGTGAATGAATGCAAGATGAATTTTCCTTATGTTTTTGAACCATGTTCAATTTCAGACGTTCTTGGATTTTTAAGCCTAAAGATTAGATAGATTTTGAATTTCACATGTACTATTAGAGCGAGTAAAGTGCCAAATTAGTTCCCTCACTATTTACATGGGTCTCCCAGAGTAATTAGTTTCTAGACTCTTATAATATAAGCTTAAATAATTCCCAGAGAGCACTATTTTAGCCCCCATTAAAAGATTATGTGGAGTAATTTGACACTTCTAGGCTCTAGCACTAAAAATAGACCCTTGCAAAGAGTCAGAGGACTATTTTGACACTTTATTAGGCTAACAGTTAATGTGTAACTTAGTAAAGATATTTGTTTTTAGTGGATTCATGATATCAGTCACCTAAATAGCTTTGAAATAGATACTAGTCTACGTGCGTCAGCTTCTAAATGAAATTTCACTTGAATTTAACCTTCTAATATGGAAAATGGAGAAAGAGAACTTCAGCATAAACGAGATTATTAGTAAAGTCAGACTGAGTCATATGGCTGAAGTTTCCAAATGGTAGGTGTAAAGTTACTAGGATTTAAGAATGGCAGAGAAATAGCTACTACCCTGGCGTATATAATAGTTAAGGAGCAATTACATACATATCACCCGAAACTTTGCTGTGTACAAATCTAGCACCCTGTTTCATCCAATTTTCAAATTATCACTTAGATATCAAAATTCATGATAAAACAACGACCCATTTTTTTCATTTTTGTCAAATTCTCAATAGTTTGATCGCGTCGCGCGTAAAAACATCGGTTCAGTTGTACAAAAGTATCACCTGGGTGCTACGTTTTGTAGCTACATTTTGTAAATAACAATGTGGCAGGTGCTATGTATGTAACTATCCTATTAGCTAATTTTTTTGCAAAGAGGATAGCTATCAAAGTTAAAACTTTTGGTAATTTCTGTAATTAGCTAGCTGTCATATAGACTTCCTGAATTCATTTAAGCCAATCTACTTAATCCCAATTAAATTCATGGACTCGGACCGTCTCAAATTGACGATAGATCTGACGGCCTGTTTATTAAAGCGTGCTTCACCTTTTAGTATATATTTCATTTATTTCCTAAAATTAATATAGAAAATATACTTGATTTTCCTTTTTTGTTGAATCAAAATCAACTCTTTACCTATTTGAGTTGAATTTTGAGCAAGTTTGTCCAGCTTTCAACTATATGAAGGAGCAACTAATGGGCAATGGTATACAGTAGCTAGGGGATGATTGCTAATGAAGGCCAGGCTAGATGATAAAGAAGCTAATGAGCCAGACATAAGCTCATTAGTGCTGATCTTAATGTTTCCTTGTCAGGTACTTGATAGCTTCGCACACGACCGACTACCAACAACCGATGCTCTTTCTGAATACCGTTGCAGTGATCGTATTGGTCATCGCCAAATTCCCAAACATGCACAAAGTTCGCATCTTCGGAATCAATGCAGATCGTTGATCGGTGGATCTTTCTACTTCCAGAAACCCTAAGAGAGAGGAGGTTAGTGTGGTGTTCTAAACATTATGGCCACGTTGCATGGTTTCCATTGTACAGGACTGCATGTTGTAGAAACTAATAATGTTGGTGTGATGCTGTGTTATAGCTTTTAGAGCAAAAGAATGTGTAGACTTCTTAAAGTGTTTCGGGTCTTGTTATATTCTGCGTCGTGTATAGTTCTTAGGGTTTTTTTTTGAGGCTTGTGGTGTATAATCTTTTACTGTCCTTAACTATGGTTTGTGTGTCTAAGTCTCAGTTATATATCTCAGTAAGTAGTGTTTGTAGCAACTTACATGATATCAGCATACTTATCTTATTGTATTTGGGATTCTGTGCTTGTTAGTGATATATCTTATACTTATCTTCTGTATAAAACTATTAGGATACCATGTTTTCTTAAGTGAAATATTTATTTTGATATAATTATGACATTTAAGAGTAGTATGAGTGTATATTACGGTATAGATTTAGGCATGTAAATACATAATAATTGTGTGGTATGTAGGTAAATACCCCAAATAAAAATGCTCAATGAGAGTTTTTTTTATTATTTAGTCCTCTGTTTTACCATATTTATGATTTATTGCATCAAATATATATATATATATAATAATAATAATAATAAAAACATTGTAGTGCAACATGATGTGTCCTTATCATGATGTATCCTTATGATCTACATATTTTATCATAATTTTATAATGTTAATTTTAAAAGAATATTTTTTATGGAAAAATTAAGGTGCATTTCAAAGCTCGATATTAAAAGATAATAATTTATTTTGAAGTAAAGTGGTAAAATAGTCCTTGATTTTTTATATGAAATAATCAAGCTGAGTGTATCATTGTTTGGGTTTTGTTTGGTATAATTATAAGTGTTTATGTTCAGCTTGAGCTTGTGTCGAGTTTTCATGCACTTGATTTGCTCAATTTTTTGAATGCGTGAATTTGATTTGTACTTTATTTGTTTAATACAAGTAAACATGTATTTAAATGAGTTAATAAATACGCTAATACATGAGCTAAATATTCAAATGAGAATTTAGGTTTTCATATAAAAAATTTAAGAAATAATTTTGTAATTCTAGTTATAACTACTGTGTCGATTGTGAACTCTAAAATATTTGAACTTTACTAATTAGCTACATAATTAGAATTATTGGTATTATTACACTAGTTCAAATTTTGTAAGTAGAAGAACTAAATTGGTCTTAAAAGTTATAGTAATGATCATTTAATCATATTAACAATGTTGTTACCAAGTGCAATATGATGGACATAAAAAATGAACTCATTATAATTAGGATTACAAGAACTCTACAAGAAAAATCCTTTTTAACATTTTTTTCAACTCTAAATATCTTATTCTAAGTTAATATTCACTTATTAATAAAATAAATATTTAATTAATAATAAAAGTAAAAAAAATTGTTCTCAATATAACATATTACTATCAAATAAATTATAACTAATTAAATTTTATTTATATAATATATATAGTATGAGTTATTATCGAGTTTAATATGAAATATTTAACAAGTTAATTTTTGTACGACAAACGAGTTTGTTCATGACCATAAACGAAAAAGTTCAGTCATGTTCATATTCAGTTCGTTTAAGCTTCGAGCCTTTAAACATTGTTCAAACTTGTTTATTTACTAATTTGAAACGAGCATGATCGAGCCTTAATCGAGTCGAGCTCAACTTATTTATGGAGCGCATTGGTTCATTTACAGCCCTAGTTATAAATATAATACGTAAGTTTAGTTGTTAAACATGTAAATATATAAGAATTATGTGGTATATATACATGCGGTGGCAGCGCACATTGAATCACTTGAAGTAATCATTAGATTTGAAGAAGCCAAAGCACATACGGCAGGTTCTAATAAATTTCAAAATCTAATCTTGGCTTGCTCGTCTTTTTCTGCAAAATAGAATACGTCACCTCTTATTACAAAAATACAAATTATTACACTTGTGCCACAGACATCAAATCACAGGGTGTTTATGCAAATATGGCTGAAATATTTGACATGATTTTCCAAAGAAGGTAAGTTTTAGTGACATTTAAAAAGCTTGACTATGAGTCTATTTCTTAGTGATTGACAGTAGGGAAATGTGCTTTATAATTGAGAAAAAAATAATAATAGTATTTTGAAATAGTTTTATTTCGGATAGACCTTAAAAATATACATTTTATGTTTTTTTTTTCCCCTAAATTTTAATGGCATAAATTCATATCATTTTAAATTTGTTTATAATACTAGAATAATAAAAACAACTGCATTAGGAAAATGTGGTTTATAGATTCATGTCATCCAGAGCTTCGATTTCAGCAAACTTACAGTCAGACTGACCGGTTCGATGAGACGGACCCAATGATGTAAAAATTAGTCAAATCAAGCTCAGATCAAGTCATTAAAGCACATTTAAAAGTTTTTCAAATAAATTTTGAAGGTCAAACAAATGTCGAATCTAGCAAGTCTATAATCAAATCGAGCGCACGACAAGAAACATTCAAAGAGCACATGATTGTTCAATTCTGACATTGGTAAGGTACTCAAATATCTATCAAATGTCGTCTGATTGAATGGAGCTCTCTGGATCGTCCAATTAAAGTGGTTTATATTCTTGCATTAATTGTTCCCATAAGACTTTAAATAGAGTTCCACCCCACTCGTTAGGGAGAGGAACTTTGAGGTTTGAGAAAGAATTTGAAGCTTTGAGAAGAAGCTGAAATCTAATATCGCCACCGACCCCTGCTAATCACCATCGACCCCCATCTATCGGTCTCCACTGATCACTATTGGCTGTCGCCTACTTACAACAAATTCATTTACACGTCGATGTTATAATTTTGAAGACTTTGTAACGTTTTCTAGTCTGTGGAAAAGGGGACCCTGTAATCATGAGCTTATATAGTGAATTTTTACAATTGATTTGGGTTTCCCACATAAATTTTTTTTGGTGTCATTCCTAATTACTTTATTTTATCTGACTGTGTGTTGAATTCTCTTTCAACGCTAAGAGGATAATCCATTACTCTACCGCCAAACTCTTACAACAAATTCTTTGAAGTATCATAAAACAACAAACGGATCAAACAAAAACTTCATAATTTGGAATACAATATATGAACTATATATTGACAAAGGAGTTGGTAACTCATGCATTCAAGTTTAAAATTTCAATTAATTTAAAAAATCTTTGAGAAATTAAGAAAATACCTCTTCAATTTTACATTCTAAATTTATGAAATTAAATTATTATCTATATATACGTATTTCTAAATAATAGTGAAGAAGCAAAAAAATAAAATTAAATTAAATAATAGTTTATATGTAACATATTTGCACTGGGATTTTGGGGTAAATTGAATTAAAAATGAATTAAGAATGAATTAAAATAATAAAATTAAAAAAAAAGAAAATAATTTTTTATAATGAATTAAAATTGAATTAAAAAATGAAATACAGAGAAATTGTAAATAAAAACCAAATCTAGGTTTCTTGGATTTTGGGGTAGGAAAAATAATGCATTGGCTCCCATCCCTAAGAGAATGTTTTGCTGAGCACAAAATGATTATTTTAAGAAAAAGTAGAGAGATGGAGCATTGGTAGTTGCACCCTCCCTCCTCATAAAATAACATGCCAATGAAAATCTTCTCTAATTAATTTTTTTTTGATAACTTGTCATCTCTAATTTACTTGAAATTGACCCCCCAGATGCGTGATTGACTCGAAATTAATCTGATTTAAACATCAATAGTTGTTATTAATTGTGTTAAATGGGTTATACGAGTCTGTTTTGAATTGACGGGTTAGTTTCGGGATGGGATTTTCGACCTGTATGATATTTGAGTTAGGTTCGGGTGGGACATATTCAGCTCAGGTCAGTATTGGGTCGGGCTCGAATCAGACCCGCTGACCCAAATTGACACTCATGATTGTAATCATCATAGTAGCCTAATGAGATATAATTTTTTAAAAAAAAAAAAACATAGCATAACCACACACTTGTTCGTGTTTAGTCTATTTTCTTCACATTGTTTCAGAAAAAAGATGGTACCAAAATATCAAAAACATGCCTAAAGAAACCATTTCAGTAGCATTATATATACACACTTCATATAGGACTATATTTTTAGTAATATATTATCATATATGGCTCAAACTTACAAGTTAGGACGACTGAAAATTTATGACCTGTATCAAACTCTCAATTGCTTACAAAATATAACTTTCAAGCTTACGAAAAAATTTTACATGTGAAGTTTGGACACTGTGTACAATATTATTGTACATATTCTACACAAATGCGTACAACACGTACAACATTGTTATACAATTATACATGAGTCCAGATATACCGAAACTCTTTATGTAATATTCTCTCCAAGCTCAAAGAGAGTGAATTCTTTTTAATTAGAACCTTTGTTTCTTTTTCAAGTATTTCTTCTCTTGTAAATAACTTTGCATGTCACCTTCATTTATAAACGTTAAAAATATAGTTATGCATAGTAAGAAACTAATTATATCACATATTATTCACTTATGAAAATATTCTTAACCATTCTTTTCTTTCCTATCACAATTATCTACCATCTATTTTTTAACTATCATATATAAATTTGACTTATAAGGTCAAATTATAAAACTTTATAACTAATTATATATATATATATATATATATATA